AATATATATATATATATATTTTTTTTTTTTTTTTACAATTTTGGTATCATTACTGCTCTATCACCTAAAGGCATGTTTGAGAGTCTCTATACTCCAGCTAACGATTAATCGCTTACTATTTTAGTCGATGATTATTTCAATAATCGATTAATCACGATTTGTATGTGTTCCATATATTATGAACAGAAGAAGGGACTGAGATTGTCTTAAGTTAAAGCGCAAAGATGGTTGCATAAACACATGTGATGAATATTCATTTACACAGCTCAGATGTGCACTCTTTTGCTCCACAATGACAAAAGATTAAACGGTTTCCCATCCTGTTCTGCATTTTGAAGCCCTGCCACCTGCAGCGCTGCATCCAGTTGTACAGGTCGCTCCACTGAGCACACAGCCTATACGACCAACAAAGAACAGCTCTCTGGCACCTGTTAATGCCGTCGTGTTAATCTGCCAGTTGGAAGTGTCAGGCGGGGTTTATTTTAACCACTGGGCCCCGGGGCCCATGTGCTGGAGTGATTAACACACTGGCGAGGAAATGATGGAGGGCAAGAATGGAAAGAGATAGCGGTCATTAGGTGTAAACGCGGAGAGAGGAATGCAGCTGCTGGAAGGAAAGGCTGGAGGGGAAGGAAAAGAGAGAGAGTCAAGTAAGAACAGGTTTCCAACCTGACATCAGTCTGGGTTCAGAGTTTCTCAGCTCTGATCTGCTGCTGGGACACCTAGAGAAACACTGAGCGGCTATGTGAATGCTTCGTAAAACACATTGCTGGAATTCCTGTCGGGATTATATCCTTAATTAGATGTATAGTGTTCCGGTGCGTTTTGACGCATATCATTCTTTTAACTGTTGACAATACGCTTTTTTTAAGATTACTGTCGTGTACAATATTTCAAAGTAAAGGAAACATTTGTTTCCAAAGTACATCTTGAACTTTCCACACTTTTTGCAAACACCCTGTATTTTGTATTTTCACATGACTATAAAAACGTATCACATAATTATGAGGTGGTTTGAAAGTATTCTATAGATCTAAAAAAAAAAAAAAAAAAAGTAAACATACATTATGTTTATATTCGATTCTATGTAGAATCAATTTTTGTTTCAAATATAGCTGGAAGTATTTTTTAGTATGCCACTACCAGGTTTCCAGATTTACAGACGTACAAAATAGGTAAAACATGGAATAAAGCGGATCTGTAAATATCAATTTACAAATCTTACCACAGCTTCTAAATTGTAGAAGACTGGAGTGAAAGGACAATTGACTATAGGGTGTCGAATCCTAATCCCTTAAGGGCCACTGTCATGTCTTTTTGTCGATGCGTCCATGCTAAAAAACAGCTGATTCCCGCGGCTGACTTAGCTCTTTAGCAGGTCATTAAGTTCCACCCATCCTGTTATGTTGAACCAGGGAACTAAAACATTCAGGATACTGGCTTTTGAAAACTGACTGGATAAAGCTGTACTAAACCACTTTAACAAGCACATCTGATTTTATTAAAATCAAATAAATATATTTGCATGTAAAAATACCTGTTCCCTAGAGAACAGGCTGGGTGGGTAACACATGTCTACAAGAAGGCAAAGAAATACTGCACTTCTTGAGAAAACTTATTTCCTTCAGTGTTTGTAGTAGGGTGTTGCATATCTTCTATAAGTCTGTTGTGGAAAGTTTGGTCTCTTCAGCCTTCATGTGTTGTGTTAACAGCACCAGAGCAACTAACTTAAGAAAGTTTTGTTCTAGGAATTCCTCTAGAACCCCTGCAGGGCATTTTACAAAAAACAATTCTTTACAAAATGAATAATATTATGGAAAATTACCTTGTATTTTGCTTCATCCATCTTTCCATTAATTCTGATCTGTATCCACCTGACTTCAAGAAACAATGCATATCCACAGTATGATGCAGCCATAACCATTTCAATGTGAAAATGATTCGTTTTGAGTGATTATTTTAATATTTTGCAGCAAACAGTCAGTGCATGCTTGCGTAATTACTAATCTTATCTGATTAGAGCACCTTTTCCAAATGATGGTTTGTCCACTGCATTACTTTTTACACATTTTAAACAGGACCTTTAATGGTGTTCTTTTTGCCAATCTTCCATATTTCCTAACAGATTGATCCCATTATGCTGTGAATTGTTACCTTCCCTCCAAAATGGCCATGGACATGGCTTCTTTACTGATTATTGATTGCTCTACTAGTCTGACCTGTTAGTATTGGTGAAAACCATTATTTCATAGCCGCACTTTATCAGGCAAATACTGAACAGTGATATCACTGTTTTAAATGGCTATGGGGATGTTGATGTTGATAAGAGCTAACCCAAATTTTTAAGAGCCATTTTCTGTCTGTGTTAAAACTCACCCCTCTTCTATCTGTAAGTTCAAGCTTCTCAACTAATAAAGATACAAATAAAAATAAAAGAATTAGGAGCAGTTTGTGTAAATCCCAGTGGGATAATGCACTAATAATAGTATGACATACTATGTACTAACAAAGCTTTGCAACTGCAATATTGGACACATTGGACATATTCAATGGCAATGATGATTCTCAGTTGATATGGCGTGCCGCTCTAGTTTGCGTTACGCCAGAATCTTTCAATTTCATGCCAATGGAATGAATTGTAGTAGAGATGCACAAATACATTATTTTCTGTTCAAATCTGATACGTGACTGGGCTGATATATGATACTTATTCAATACTACTGCTGAATGAATCAACCATATACTTCAACTTGTGAGTAAAGGCATCATGAACACAGATATAAATCATCACCAGCTGTTGTGTGGGCTCTGATCAGTTGCAGTGATAAAATTGAAATCACTTTATTCTTTATTAATATTAAATATTTGTGTATGATATAAAAATAAATAGAAATGACTGGATTGGAATGCTGGACAGGCATTATTCATCTAAGTATTCAGTATTGGAGCTGAGTATCGGATTGGTGTACTAAGTAATACCAAGAAAGTTTGTTCACTAATGTTCTCTAACTAAACCGTGAGACCTGCAAAAGAAAAGATAGACTTATACTAAGATAATGTGACGACTTATTAAGTAACTTCTAGAGATCATTGGTTGGCCTGTTTTTTGTTTCTATGGGTACTAGAGTAGTTCAAAGCTGTAGAAATTATGCATATTTTATATAAGACTTCACAAATAGGTGATACCCATCATGGAGTCAGTGGCAAACATCTGACAAAATATGGAGATTTAGTGTAAGTAACTATGCATATATATATATATATATAAGTAACTATGCATATATATACATATATATATATATATATATATATATATATATATATATATATATATAT